TCAAAAAAAAAAAAAAAAAAAATCTAATATCCATCTTTTGGAAATAAATCTTGATGCATCCTTAGGTTGTAATACTCCACAGCTGTTAAAAGGTACCAGAGGCCAGGCGTGGTGGCTCTCACCTGTCAACCCAGTACTTTGGGAGGCAGAAGTGAGAGGATTGCATAAGCCCAGGGGTTTGAGACCAGCCTGAGCAACTTGGTGAGACTTCATCTCTACAGTAAATCAAAAAAATTAGCGGGGCATGGTGGCACGTGCCTGTAGCCCCAGTTACTTGGAAGGCTGAGGTGGGAGGTTCTTCTGAGTCCAGGAGGTCGAGGCTATGGTGGCCGTGAGCATGCCGCTGCACTCCAACCTAAGCGACAGGGTGAGGCTCTGACTTTGAAAAAAAAGGAAAAACAAGAGCCCCTTTTAGTGGTAACGTGAATCCCTCTCATGGACAGTGGATGTATCATTATGACACAAGTTGTGGAGAGGGATGTTTTTCTTTATCATATACACTCCCATTTGGTTTTGGCTTTTGCCATGTTCTCATGTAATCTTATGATAATAAAAAGTTGAAATTTTGAAAAAAATGTTGATGCTTACTGCTGTACAGATATAGGGAAATGTATGCTTATTTATTTATCTATTTTGAGTTGGAGTTTCACTCTGTTGCCCAGGCTGGAGTGCAGTGGCACGCTCATGGCCACCCCAGTGTCAACCTGCTGGGGTCAGGTGATCCTTCTGCCTCAGCCTTCCAAATAGCTGGAACCATGGGCGCATGCCATTACACCCAGCTAATTTTTTTATTTATTGTAGAAATGAGGTCTCATCAAGTTGCCCAGGCTGGTCTCAACTTCCTGAGCTCAGGCAATCCTCTCACCTCGGCCTCCCAAAGTGCTGGGATTACAGGCTGAGCCACCGAGCCCGGCTGAAATGTGTACTCTTAATCAAAAGAGAGCTAAACATTCCTGTAACTGGCTTGAATGACAGTGCAGCATTATATATCAAAATTTAGATTGGGCATGGAAACTCATCCCTGTAATCCCCACACTTTGGAAGGCTGAGGTGGGAGTACTGCTTGAGCCCAGGTGTGGTGACTCACACCTGTAATCCTAACACTTGGGGAGGCAGAGGCAAGAGGATTGCCTGAACCCAGGGATTCGAGACCAGCTAGACCTCGTCTCTATAATAAATCAAAAAATTAGCCAGATGTGGTGGCACGTGCCCGTGGTTCCAGCTACTTGGAAGGCTGAGGCAGAAGGATCACCGGCACCCAGCAGGTTGAGGCTGCGGTGGCCATGAGCGAGCCACTGTACTCCAGCCTGGGTGACAGAGTGAGACTCCAACTCAAAAAAATAAATAAATAAAATAATTTTTTAGAGGCACAGTCTTGCTCATGCCCTTTGATACACTGAGTAGCATTTAAACTACTCAGGAAAATGTTTTCAAATAACGCACAGGGGCAGGTATGTATGGAGGGTGGGATGAGCTGCTGAAACCCACGACCCTGACGCTGCCCCTCTATTCCTCAGGGGCTGTACGGACATCATTTGCTGCGTGTTCCTCCTCCTGGCCATTGTGGGCTATGTGGCGGTGGGCATCATAGGTGAGTGGGACACAGGGCAGGACCTGGGGTTCCAAGGTAGGGGTGGCAGCCACAGCCTCGGGGCTGAGGAGTGACAGTGCGTCAGCATTCCGGGATCCCTCCACAGCTTGGACCCATGGGGACCCTCGCAAGGTGATCTACCCCACGGATAGCCGAGGCGAGTTCTGCGGGCAGAAGGGCACAAAGAATGCGTGAGTCTGACTCCTTGGGGCCTGGTGGGACTGGGGAAGCACGGGTAGAAGGTTCTAGGCTCCCCCATCTCCTCCATCCATGAGTCTCATACTTACAAAACTCTGGCCAGGTAAAGTGGCTCATGTTTGTAATCCCAGGCAGGAGGATTACTTGGCAGCCTGGGTGACATAGTGAGACCCCCATCTCTACAAAAAATAAGAGAAAAAATATTAGCGGGGTGTGGTGGCGCATGCCTGTGGTCCCAACTAATCAGGAGGATGAGGTGGAAGGATCATCTGAGCTCAGGAGGTTGAGGCTGCGTTGATCTATTATCCAGCCTGGGCAACAGAGCGAGACCCCAACTCAAAAAAAAAAGAAAAAGAAAAGAAAAAGGGAGAAGCAGCAGCTTTGGCAGCTTCTATTCCCCCTTCTCCCACCCCAGGAACAAACCCTACCTGTTTTATTTCAACATTGTGAAGTGTGCCAGCCCCCTGGTGCTGCTGGAATTCCAGTGTCCCACCCCCCAGGTAACATGCCCCACCTCTCCCTCTGCCTCTCCCCGCTTTCCATCTTTTCCCCCTGGCAATGTGGGTGGACCCCTGTCCTGACCCTACCAACCCCTTCCTTGGCACCGCCTTCCCTCCCCGCCCGCCCAGATCTGCGTGGAGAAGTGCCCCGACCGCTACCTCACCTATCTGAATGCCCGCAACTCCCGGGACTTTGAGTACTATAAGCAGTTCTGTGTTCCTGGCTTCCAGAACAATAAGGTAATGGACGGGTGACTGGGGGGGTTGCAGGGTGGTGGCACAGTGCTGGGCTGCAGCTTACCCCCCCCTTTCTCGGTAGGGTGTGGCCGAGGTCCTCCGGGATGGCGACTGCCCGGCTGTCCTCACACCTAGCAAGCCCCGTGAGTCGGGGGTCCTGTGAGGCTCAGGTGGGTGCTGGGAGGGCCTGTGGGGTGTGGCCTGATGGGTCCCGCCCCTGCTCCATGCAGTGGCCCGGCGATGCTTCCCAGCCATCCACGCCCACAAGGGAGTCCTCATGGTTGGCAACGAGACGACCTACGAAGATGGGCACGGCTCTCGGAAGAACATTACGGAGCTGGTGGAGGGTGCCAAGTGAGGACCCCAGCTGCCACGTGGGCATCGCCCTTTCTGGGTTGGGGCAGGGTATCCCCTGAGGCTGGCCCTATCGGGTGGCGTCCAAGCCCTGCCTCTCCTTCCTTTCTGCAGGAAAGCCAACGGGGTCTTGGAGGCACGCCAGCTAGCCATGCGGATATTTGAGGATTACACTGTCTCCTGGTATTGGATCGTCATGTAAGTGGGGAAAGAGGGAGGGGCCCTCCCCAGGAACCCCCTTTGAGGCTGGTGAGGGGTGGGGTTTACTCACACCCTCTTTATGTCCCCCAGAGGCCTGGTCATTGCCATGGTGATGAGCCTCCTGTTCATCATCCTGCTCCGCTTCCTGGCTGGCATCATGGTGTGGGTGATGATCGTCATGGTAATCCTGGTGCTAGGATACGGTGCGTCTCCCCTCCCTGCTACCTCCCCTTCCCAGAGGCTGCAGACCATCTGGCCCTTTCACCTGCTAGTGGCCCATCTGGAATTTTCTTTTTTTTTTTTTTTTTTTGAGTTGGAGTCTCACTCTGTCCCCCAGACTGGAGTGCAGTGGCATGCTCCCGGCCACCACAGCCTCCACCTGCTGGACTCTGGCGATCCTTCTGCCTCAGCCTTCTAAGTAGCTGGACCCACAGGCGTGTGCTACCACTCTCGGCTCATTTTTGATTTATTGTAGAGACGAGGTCTTGCCAAGTTGCCTGGGCAGGTCTCAAACCTGCATGCTCAGGCAATTCACTAACCTCGGCTTCCCAAAGTGCTGGGATTACTGACTGAGCCACCGAGCCCAGCCTGGAATTTTCATTTTATTTATTTACTTACTTTTTCTGTCAAGGTCTCACTCTGTTGTCCAGGCTGGAGGTCAGTGATGTGATCATAGCTGACTGCAGTCTTGAACTCCTGGGCTCAGACGATCCCCCGCCTCAGTCTCTAGAGTAGTGGGTCTATAGGCACATGCCCCCACGCCTGGCTAATTTTTAAATTTATGTGTAGAAAAAGGGTCTTGCTATGTTGCCCAGGCTGGTCTCAAACTCCTGGCCTCAAGTGATCCTCCCACCTCGGCCTCCCAAAGTGCTAGGATGACAGGTGTGAGCCACTGTGCCTGGTTATCCTAAACTGTCAGACACTCTCCATCTTTTATTCAGTGTATTTGTGAAGATGTTCATCTCAGTGTTGTTTATAAGAACAGACTCTTGGAAACAACCTCGGTACCTTTCAGTGGGGGCTGGGTTGAATCAGGCTCTCCACAGACTTCCATCTAGGGCCTGTTGTACTTTATCAACAACAAAAGGCATTCTCAAGAAGGTGACTTAGCATGGTCGTTAAGGATATGCACTCTGGCACCACAGTGTCCGAGGTTCAAATGCTGGCTCTGCCAATTCCTTACTTTGTGACCGTGGGCAAGTGACTCAACCTCTCCATAACACGGGAATAATTTTTTTCTCCATAACACGGGAATAATTAGTATTTACTAGTTGGCAAGGTTAATGACAAGGAGATAGTATGAGGGTAAAATCAGGGAGGAGGCCTGTTTAGGTCAGGCCTGTGTAGTCTGGAGACATGATGGTCAAAAACCAGTTTATTCATTTAAACTTTCCAGGAGTTTAAATTAGATTCAAGGGCACAGATATCAAAGTGTTAGTGTTAACAGTGGTTTCTGAGCCGGGTGTGGTGGCTCATGCCTTTGTAATCCCAGCACTTTGGGAGGCGGAGGCAAGAGGATTGCCTGAGCCCACGGGTTCGAGACCAACCTGGGCAACATGGTGAGATCTCCTCTCCACAGTAAATAAAAAAATTAACTGAGTGTGGTGGTGCATGCCTGTAGTCCCAGCTACTTGGAAGACTGATGTGGTGGAATCTCCCGAGCCCAGCAGTTCGAGGTTGCAGTGGCCATGAGTGTGCCACCGCACTCCAACCTGGGCGACAGAGTGAGACTCTGACTCAAAATAATAATAGTAATAATAATAATAACAATAATAATAACAATAATAGTTTTTGACTGGGTGCAGTGACTCATGTCTGTAATCCCAGCACTTTGGGAGACCAAGGTGGGAGGATCACTTGAGCCAAGGAGTTCGAGCCCAGCCTGGGCAACATAGCAGCAAGTCCTTGTCTCTATTTTGAATTTTTTTTTTTGGACTAGAAAATATAGTTTATTTAGGAAGTAAATTAGAGAGAAATTCACATCCCCAAGGTAGAGGTGGGGGCCAAAGCTAGGAAACATGGCAACCATAGCTCAAAGAGCCACATGGACATACCAGAATTTAACAAAGCGATGGCCTATTTTGAAATTAAAAAAAAAAAATACTGGTTTTGCCGGGCACAGTGGCTCACGCCTGTAATCGCAGCACTGTGGGAGACTAAGGTGAGAGGATTGCCCGAGTCCAGGGGTTTGAGACCAGCCTGGGCAACTTGGCGATACCTCGTCTCTACAATAAATCAAAAAATTAGCTGGGTGTGGTGTTGCGTGCCTGTAGTTCCAGCTACTTGGAAGGCTGAGGCAGGAGGATTGCCTGAGCCCAGCAGATCAAGGCTACGGTGGCCATGAGCATGCCACTGCACTCCAGCCTGGGCAACACAGTGAGACGCTGGCTCAAAAAAAAAAAACAAACAAAAAACTGGTTTCTATCTCTACAAAAATAAAAAAACTTGGGCAACCTCTTCGGGTCCCCTCCCACTGTGGGAGCTTTTCTGTCATCTCAATAAATCCTGCCTTAAAAAAAAAACAACGAAAACATTAACCAGATATGGTGTCTCATGCTTGTAGTCCCAGTTACTCAAGAGGCTGAGGCAGGAGTATCGCTTGAGCCCAGGAGGTTGAGGCTGCAGTGTTATGATCACACCACTGCACTACAGTCTGGGCTAGAGGGAGACCCTGTCTCAAACACACACACACACACACACACACACGCACACAAAATTTGGTGCATTGGATCATGGAAGGATGGGATGATAATTGGGAAAAGGGGTTCTAGAAGTCTCTTTGGAAGGTGACATTTGAGTGAACTCCTGAGGACATGAGGAATCTAGCCGTGGGGAGAGAGAACCAGCCTTCGTGTTTGCTTCTATTAAATGGGGGAATTGTAGCTGCTCTGCGGGTTTGGGGTCAGCATCGGTGGGCTGAGCCTGTGGTTCCCCATGCAGGAATATTTCACTGCTACATGGAGTATTCCCGACTGCGTGGTGAGGCCGGCTCTGACGTCTCTCTGGTGGACCTTGGCTTTCAGACGGATTTCCGGGTATACCTGCACTTACAGCAGACCTGGATGGCCTTCAGTGAGTCACAGCACCCCCAGTCCTACCCCTGAGGAGGCCTTGGAGGGAGTGGGGTGCCTGGGCGGCTGATCCTCTGTCATTTGCAGTGGTCATTCTGAGCATCCTCGAAGTGATCATCATCTTGCTGCTTATCTTTCTCCGAAAGAGAATTCTCATCGCGATCGCTCTCATCAAAGAAGCCAGCAGGTGGGGGCTGGGGGCCAAGGGCCAGGCTGGGGTCATCCCCAGAGTCATCCAGGCCCTGATCCTGTGTCTCTGCTTCTCCCCAGGGCTGTGGGATATGTCATGTGCTCCATGCTCTATCCATTGGTCACCTTCTTCCTGCTGTGCCTCTGCATCGCCTACTGGGCCAGCACGGCCGTGTATCCACCCCAGGCCCTGATCTGACCCCAGGGATGGCTACAGGCTATACTTGCCCAGAAGTGACCTGCAGTACTGGGGCAGGACTGGAATCTGGTGGGGGAATGGATTCTTTCCCACAAGTCCCTGGGGGCCCCCAATCCCAGAACTTGGCTTCCTTGACAAGTCTCCAGCTTCCTGTCCACTTCCAACGAAGCTGTCTATAAGATCTTTGATGATCCTGCCTGCCCGCTTGTTGGGAAAACCTGCAATCCTGAGGTGGGCGTTTCTGGGGTGGGCCAGGCAGATATTGCCCCAGCAGGCCCCAGATTATTTGAAACCTCCCATCCCCATTTGGAGATCTCAGCAAACATCTGGCACCTGCTGTATGCCCTGAGCTGGGTTGGGGGTGAGAAGGCAACTTCCCAAGGCAAACTGGTTTCTGCTGTTCAGCTTGACCTATCCTCCCCTCCCCCCCACATTCTTACCTGCTTCCACACCCTTTTCTTGGCTCCCATAATGGCCAGTTCTTGTTTCCACAATCCTTTCCTTTTCACAAGCCCCTATTCTGAACCCCTGATTCCTTCCAACTCTTAATTTCCACGACTCCTGCCCTACCTCGTGGTCTGCCTGACCCTGGACCTGATGCTCAGCGCCCACTGGAAACACCCGGCCCCTCTGTTTTGACTTCTCCCGCAGACCTTCCCCTCCTCCAATGAATCTCGCCTGTGCCCCAACGCCCGCTGCCAGTTCGCCTTCTACGGTGGCGAGTCAGGCTACCACCGGGCGCTGCTGGGCCTGCAGATCTTCAATGTCTTCATGTTCTTCTGGCTGGCCAACTTCGTGCTGGCGCTGGGGCAGGTCACACTGGCCGGGGCCTTTGCCTCCTACTACTGGGCCCTGCGCAAGCCGGACGACCTGCCTGCTTTCCCGCTCTTCTCGGCCTTCAGCCGGGCGCTCAGGTGGGCTGGGGTTGCGGGTGGGACGTGGCGAAGGAGGCCCGGCCCGACCGCTGACCACACCCCCTGGGCCCTCAGGTACCACACGGGCTCCCTGGCCTTTGGCGCCCTCATCCTGGCCATCGTGCAGACCATCCGAGTGATGCTCGAGTACTTGGATCAGCGCCTAAAAGGTGCGACCCGCCCGCGGTTGGCATTGGCTCTCGCTAGGGGGCGGGGCTGAGTGGCAAGCCGGGATTGGCTCTTGTGTGAGGTGGGCGGGCTCAACGTAGAGGGGCGGTGATTGGCTGCCTCTTAGCGCTTAGGGCCTTATGTCATTGGCTCCCGCGTTGGAGGAGCTGCTGAGAGAGCCCACTGAGTGAAAAGTTTCCTTCTGAGGGGGATGCCCAAGAGGCCTGGCCCACTATGACTCCTGCTAGGGAGAGTTGGGCGGGGACATGTTTGCGCCAAAGGGGGCGGGAATAAAACGTTTTCCAATGGAGGGACTGTGGGTTGGGATTGGTTGTCCTTTGGGGGGTGGGGCCAGGGAGGCGACGAGGATTGGCTTCTGCCTTGGAGGCGGGGTGATGGCAGCGGTGAGCGTTCTGGTTGGCTCCTGCTTGGGGGCGGGGCCGAGGATACAGGCCAGGTAGATTTCGCCTCGGAGGTAGAACAGGAAACCCAGGGATACTGGATGAAGTTTCCTCTCCCTATCTCTTTGAGAATGTGGGTATTTGGGGTCCCTTTCAGGCCTAGCCAGGTCTCCCTTCACCTCTGCCTCCCTCCCCTTCCAGCTGCAGAGAACAAATTTGCCAAGTTCCTCATGATCTGTCTCAAATGCTGCTTCTGGTGCTTGGAGAAGTTCATTAAATTCCTCAACAGAAATGCCTACATCATGGTGAGAGGACTCGGGACCCCCAGCCAACCTACCAGCTCCTGCTGGGTAGGAGAAGCCCGCGTCCCCACTCTGCTGACCTGATGCTTCTCTCTTTCCCTTTCCCCTGCAGATCGCCATCTACGGCACCAACTTTTGCACGTCGGCCAGGAACGCTTTTTTCCTACTCATGAGAAACATCATCAGGTCGGGGGAGATGCTTTTCTCCCTTCGCCTCCCCCCTCTCCCAATCCCTCAGCCAGCATTCATACCTGCCCCTCACTATCTCCCGCAGAGTGGCTGTTCTGGACAAAGTTACCGACTTCCTCTTCCTGTTGGGCAAACTTCTGATTGTGGGTAGTGTGGGTGAGTGCTGCCAACCCAGCCTCTCAGGGTGTGGGAGCCTGTTGGGAATGGCTAGGGGCAGTTTCCATTAGCAAGAATCCTCCACCAGCCCTGTTTTCTCATTGTTTCCAGGGATCCTGGCTTTTTTCTTCTTCACCCACCGCATTAGGATCGTGCAGGATACAGCACCACCCCTCAATTATTACTGGGTCCCTATATTGGTATGGACCTCTGGGTGCAGGCAGGAGTCTGGGGAGAAGGATATTGGGATTTGTCCCTTTTGACTGGACAGATGTGGATGGAAGTCAGAGGTGGGAGGTGGATTATTTATTCAGTCCACATTTATTGAACACCTGCTGTGTACCAGACACTGAAGTGGGGGCTTGCCTCTGGAGGCCTTAAAGTTTAGGAGCCAACAGACCTTCATCAGTAATGGTATTGGTGAATGTGTGATTGCAAACTAGGATGTGCCGCTGGTGTGTCCACACAGGACAGGGGCCTGTTAGACCCTGTGGTAGAGGATCTGGGTGGGTCTGGGGCCTCAGGTAGCATCACCATGCATGTGATGTTGGATCTGCCATTTGAAGATGTGGGTAATATCCAGGCCGAGGGAACAGTAAAGACAGGCCGTGAGGTGGGGCCGTGCTAGAAACAGTAAGGAAACCAGTGGGGCTGAGGTGGAGAGAATACAGAGGTGGAGCTTGTCTTGGTGACACATCCCAAGGGCAGTGGTATCTGTGTGCAGACCTTCAAGCCCAATAATCTAGATTTTTTTTTTTTTTGAGTCAGGGTCTCACTCTGTCGTGCAGGCTAAAATACAGTGTAGTGACACAATCACAGCTCACCACAGCCTTGAACTCTTGGCAATCCTCCCACCTCAGTCTCCTGAGTAGCTGGGATTATAGGCATGCACATGGCTAACTTTTCAGTTTTTTTATAGAGATGGAGTCTTGCCAAGTTACTTAGGCTGATCTGTTCAAGACCCTGGGCTCAAGCAATCCTCTTGCCTCCGCCTCCCAAAGTGCTGGAATTAAAGGTGTGAGCCACTGTACCTGGTGTGGACAAGTTATTTAACCTCACTAAGGTCCACTCACATGAATCAACAAATGTTTATTATTATCAAGCAGCTTCTAAGGCCCTGGGAGTCTCCAAATCACTGTGGAGATAGAAGTAAATGGGACAGCTGGGCTCGGTGGCTCAGCCTGTCATCCTGCGCCTTTGGGAGGCTGAGGTGAGTGG